CTGAGCTGGGCATCTTTTCTTTTGCCAAGAGAATGGAGGGAGGCTTCCCTTTACCCCTGGGCGTGGATTTTTCTAAAGTCTCAAAATTGGTTAGCATTTGCTCTGTATCTTCATTTCCATGCTCTGGAGCAAGCTACTGAGGAGACAAGTGAGACATTTAACCAGTGGGAGATTAAATGAAGGTTAAGAGAAGCAGAGGTGCATCTCATGAGAGGTTCACAGTACAGAATGAGCCGAGAGAAAAGGCAAACAGAAGGGAAGGTGTAATCAGGGAATGGGGGTGGGGTGGCCACTTTCCTGGCCACTAAGTGGTTCCTCTTCATTCAGATCCAAATAAAAGACTACTTACAGTAAATGCCATCCAACAAAAGTTAGGAAAGTGAGGAACAAATGATTTCTCCTCAGAACTTTCAATTCCTTCGTGCTTTGATTCAGGTTTTTTTTTTTTTTTTTTTTTTGCCAGTATCTCAGTCATTGTGGTTTTAGCTTTATGTTTTTACGTGATTTTTTCCCCTAAGCCCTGGCTCCATTCTTCGATTACTAACCTCAGAAACAAGCTCACACAATTGGAAGAGGAGTCTGGAGATTCATCTCCTCTGGACTGTAAAGATGACAAATCTCTTTCAACTCTTTGGTTAGAAAATACAATTAAGTGGACTGGAGTGGGCTCTCTCCAAAGAAAATTGTCTGGATTGAGATGTGAGTATCCTAGAAGCTGAACCAATAAAAATCAATCATTTCCATTCCCTGGGGAAATGGCTCTAGGGGAAAAGTTTGCTTTGATATCTCTGCGCTGTGGACAAAATGTGTGTGATTCTTACCCAATCAATAGAAATCTCTAAAATGAAAGATTGAAGCCTTCAGGAGTTGTAACATCTCTGAGATGAGAAACGCGTGGGGGAATTGTCTCCACTAAATGCCAAACCCTCCCCCTCAGCCCCCATTTAAGTGTTTGCATAGCTTTGGAACACTGTGTGTTGTCTTTTTGCTCAAGCTAAGGAGGCTTGAGGAATCTCCAAGTCTGTATGAGACACTTAATAGAAAACAACACAGAGCTCAATGACTTCTGTGATGAGAAGGTAGAGAGGAAGCTATAGAGTGATGGTGGTCATGCCTTGCGTCTATTTTAACCTAGAAGATTTGACCCTGTCCTGTGCCTGACTACTTCCAGAAAACAAGATTTAATGCTCCCCGAGGCGCTCCGTGCCAGGATGAAGAACGCTTCGCTAGGATAAAATTTGTCCTTAGTTTTGGTTTTGCTATTTGATTCCTTAATCCCAGGTATAGATTTTCCTCTGTCATGTTGGGAATGGACCTAGCTACGTGCTATACTATAGGAAACATTCAGTGGGGGAATAAATTACTGGATTTGCTATTAAATTCTTGAAATCATTTTGTTAATCCCAGTCTCTCTTTTTTTAAATGAGGTGGGTCCTGGCATAAAAATCAGCAACCATACACTTTCCTAATGCTGGACTCTCCAAGATGTTAGTTGGACTGTGCTTTAAGGTGGTTAGTTGGATCTCTCCCACCTCCTCACAACCCACATAATGCAGCATAGAAGAGCCTGATTCCTCATCCAACTAGGCTTTTAAAATTATGATAAACTCTACGTAACATAGCACTTATCATTTTAGCCATTATTTTTTCCATTATGTTGAAACACAGTAGTTATTTCCCATCATTATTTTAGCCATTTCATATCTTAAGTTCAGTAGCACTGGTTATATTCACACTGTTGGCAACTGTAGCCACCATCCTCCAAAACTTTATCTTTTTCTCAAACTCAGACTCTATACCTAGTAAGTAACAATTTCAATCTCCTTTCCCCAGCCTCCAGAATCTACCATTTTATTTTTGGCCTCTATGAATTTGACTACTCTAGATAGCTTGTACAAATAGACACAAATATGTTCAAGTCCCCAATTTTAATTCTTTGGGGGTACATACCCAGAAGTGGACTTTTAAGAACATTAAGAAGGACCATTAAGAACAGGTCTTGGTGGGGGTGCCTGGGTGGCTTAGTCGGTTAAGCGTCCAACTTTCACTTAGGTCATGATATAGCAGTTTGTGGGTTCGAGCCCCGCATCAGGCTCTGTGCTGACTGCCAGCTCAGAGCCTGGAGCCTATTTCAGAGTCTGTATCTCCCTTTCTCTCTGCCCTCCCCTGCTCACACTGTCTCTCTCTCTCTCTCTCTCCTAGAAAAAAAAAAAAAAAGAACAGGTCTTGGTGCACCTTCAGGAAACAAATTCCTTGCAATGATCCCTCCAGGTGATTATCTCCCTAACCCATTTTCCAAATTGTATTTCAGTATTTCTTTTGTGATACTCTGTCAACATCTCCAAATGTTTAAAACTTATTTCATTATTTTGGCACCATCTCTTGCTACCTATGTGACTTTAGGCAATAACTTGAGCCTTTTTTTTTTTTAATTGTAAAAGAGAATAATAATTGCCTAGAGCACAGTGTGTTTGTGAAGACTAAAGTACATAGGGTCTGAGGAGTGCTTGGTTTAATGACTGGCACAGTGATATTTCAATTTTAAAAATGGTAACCATTACAGTTGTTAACTTTTCTCCTACCTGAATATTTGTGTTTTTCTATTTTTTACTGATGATACTCATCTTCTATAAGTTATCTATGCTCTACACCTCCAAGCAATTTTTTTTATTCTTCTCTATATCCACTCCAAGTGTTTTTATCAATCATCGTTTTCAAGATTTCTTGTGTGATAATAACCTTGTAATGGATTGTTACTTTAGTAACAGTTTGCTGAATCCCTAAGGCATTGACTTCCACCTCTGCTTTCCTTTGTCTGTCCTGTACTTCACTACTAGATTCATTTTCATAAGATAGTCTCTCCAACTGGTCACCCATGTTTTCAGAAATGTTTATTGACCTCTTCCTGCCTTTCTTGCCTGAAATATATTCTACCTCTCCAATCACCACAGAGACTATTTGTGAATTCCCAATCTTATAAAAAAGAGTTCTGATTTTTCATCTCCCACCCCTACACAGATTTAGTGAACTCAAAATTATTTTTCTTTCATTTAATGTAACCAATGCTTCACTGGGGTTCTTTAAGTCACCCTCTTCAATAACTATCCTTTTTGCCCCTGCATTACCATATCAATGACTCCAGGGCTCCAAGCTTAATTCACAATTCTTGAAAACTCTTTTGAACTCTAGTTCAACTCTGGTTGTCACGTGGCTCACGGGCCTTCAGATTATTGCAGATAGTTTCTTGGCCCTGAAGAAGAAGGAAGACACAGTCCATCCTCTATCTGGGCCATACTCTGTTTCCAAGTAGGTCTTACAACCGTGGAACCTTGATTTCTTCTTAGAAAAAGTCTAATTTAATAACAGGGCAGGAGAGAGAAGGAAGGGTAGCATCCTGTTCAGGGCATTGTCTCTGCAGTCTGATCTGGGTTCTAATCCTGGTTCTGCTACTTACTGACCATGTGACTCTCAGCAAGTTACTGAAGTTTTGTGTCCCTTAGATTTTTCCATTGGTAAAATAAGGGCAGGGTGTGACCTTCTTATGGTTGGTCGTTAGAATACAAAAAATAAAAACAAATCATTTATTAATTACTGGGCATAGAAGGTATACCAAAAAATGCCATTGTTGTTATTGTTAGTATTTCATAGATTTTTCCTCCTAGATTTTGGTATTAGTATGGTTGAGGAGGAGAAGAATGGCAAAACAATGTGAATAACATGAACCTTATAATGGTCGAAGTTGTCCTTTTCTTCCAGCTTCCCCTCCTTATGCCTGAACCCGGCTAATGGAGCTTATGGCTTATGCCTAACCAACCCAAGAAAGGGAGACTTCCAGAATAGGCAAGCAGTGCTGTTCTCTGGGAATATTTGGTCTGCCTTCTAGTCTCTTTCCAGTCATGGACAATTTATTATAATTTCAAAGATGGAATACAACATATGCCTTGTATGGTGAACTTCGCTATGCATATTTTAACGTTGCTAATAATTTATACTTAAGGTGGGTTGATTGAATTTTGCTTAGTTTCATCTTAGAAAATTAGTGAAGATATTATTATCTGGAAATAAAGCCATTGGACTGAATATTTAAAGATTTTATAATTGCTCAAGGCAGTATGCTAGGCACTAGAGGAATAGGTACACATTATAATTGCTAGGCAGTATGTTAGGCACTGGAGAAATAGGCATATGTTCTACTTCATCTGGGAAGGTGTTCTGTGTAACTCTAGCCAATACTCATTTTTTCTTTGCTTCGTTAATGCTAGTATCTCACTGTTTATAGTGGCTCTTTGGTACTTAATTTCATGATTTGCAACATTGTTAACTTGTTTCTTGTTAAATTATTTTTGCATATAAGCCCCCAAATAATATAAGCTCAATGAAAATAGTAAAAGAGTCATACTCCCTTATTTTTTAAGGACGCAGTGCTGTGCTAATAGACTTGAGTTTCATTCATTTGAAATATGTGAGGCCCTCTGATGCACCATGCCCTATGCGAAGGGCTGAAGATGTGGTGATGAATGATATAGAGAAATTTACATTTCAGGGAACATAGACAATAATTCTCAGATTTATAATTGACAAAGAGCAGTCAAAACACCCTCAGTAGATTTGGGGAGTCAGGAAGCTTTCAGGCCCAATCCACACAGGAGCATCTTAAAGCCTGACTTTCACAAACTCACCCTGAGCCCACAACTTGACTTTTTTTTTTTTTTTATAAATGGGCTTGAAGATTCTATAGTCTTATCATATTTGAAAAGCTTTTCTCTCCCAGCTTCATCATATTTCATCACTCATAAAATATATGTGAAAATCAATGACATTAGATCATTGTGTCTTAAGGCTTAGGAGTTTTGCCTGTCTTCCTAATGATATAGTGAATTAGAAAATAATTAAAAATCATTTAGGTTGCAACCTCCCTTTCTCTCCCTCCACCCCACTCCCCCCACTTCTTGCAAAGAACAGCAGGATTTATGTCTCTTCCTCCACCCTGATTGCTATAGATAACTCAGGGACCGTCTCAGATGGGAGCTGTGCCAAAATCAGCAAGACACCCAGCTTTGCTCGGATTCTCCATGAGACAGTGCATGGATGCAAAATGGCTAGCAGTAACTAGCAGTATGAATAAACTTCCACCTTTGGGATCACTGCTTATTTTTCCTAACAGCAGCAGCCGCAAAAAACCACGAACGACATTTTTATAGCAACTTATCATTTGCAAGATGCTCGCACATCCATTATCTCATGTGATGCTCACCAAAACCTTGTGACCCAGATATTACTTTTATTCTGCTAAAAATCAGCAAACCATGGCTTAAGTAAAGCCGGGGACTTTTCCAAGGGCATTCTTCTTATGAGAAGGTGGACACAGGTTGCAATCCTAAGGCCATTCCCTTCTCTTTCCACCCTGCCTCGTCTACAGAGAGGAAGATGGCAGAAGAAATGGAGGTGAAGGAAGGTTAAGGAAGGTGGGATACGTTTTAATCAAATTTGGTAGACCTGGTCCCATTTGGGGACACATGAGGAGGATTTTACTGCATTTTCCAGCCCTTTGTTCTACATAAGCCATGTGCCAATATGAGAAGATATAGTCATCTAAATAAAATTGGCTTAAGCAATAAGACATGTATTGGTTCACGTATATCTATATTTAAGATGAATTTCCAGAACCTCTCTTGGCATCTCATTGACACATATTAGGTGATATACATCTTCTTTAGCAACAGCTGGTGGAAGTCAAACAAACTTTGAGCCCCTCAGACCCATACCTGGAGGTGGAAGTGGGGTCAGCTTCCTTGTAAGCACTTGGCCTATGTGTTTGAGACAAAGGTGGATTTTAACGCTAAATGCCCACCATCAACATAGCTAACATAGAAGACTAAGAAATTACTGAATTCAGCCACAAATGTGGAGCTGTTCATCAGTATACATCAATGATTCTCAACCCAGGCTGAACAAAGAAATCACCCAGGGAGGTTTAAAAAACATTGGTGCCTGGGATCCACCCCTGGAGATTCTAATTTGATTGGTCTGGGCTGAGCCTGGCACTGGCAGTTTTCAAAGCTCCCAGGGGATTCTAATGTGAGGTCCAGGTTAAGAACCCTTCTTCCAGATCCTTACTACTCAGGGTGTGGTTCATGGGCTAGCAGTACTAGTGTCATTGTGAGTTTTTAAGATATGCAGAATTTCAGGCTCCATTCTAGACCTACTGGATCAGAATCCACCTAGCAACAAGTTTCCCAGGTGATTCACATGTGCACTAAAGTTCAAGAAGTACTGGTCTAGAAGGATGATATCCAAGACCTTGTTCCTGAACACTGTCTTTACTGGTTTTCAAGTCCAGTTTGTGACTCTGTTTAATGATCCTGTTGTGGGGGGGAGTCCCCAAGTATCAACTACACTCCCTAGTTTTCCCCAAAGGAGACCCTGCAAATCAGTGATTATTAATGATGTATGTGATTCAGAACCACTTGAGAATTTTACTTTAAATTTACATACCTAATGTCCACTGTAGAACAGTGAAATAAAATCTCAAGGGACGGTTTTGAAAAATGTGTATCTTGGGAAAAAGCTATTTTTGGGTTCAGATGGCTATTGTGGTCTAGAGTATGAGAAAACATGTGTTTTTACAAAAAGAATATCAGAGAGAAATATGCTGGTTGGGGTTTGAATAATAATATAACCAGGTGTTGTAATTGCATTCATTTCTAAATGCTTCCTCTTTAGGCTGCCTGTAGACTTGACCACTGAGGGACCCCAAGAAGAGGAGAGATTAGAAGCCCCAGCCCCTCAAGGCTGACCCGAATTGAGGTCATGGGGATGATGGATGGGGTGCTGGTGCCATAGATAGTTGCTGCCTCAGCCCATCTTGCAGCTTCCCATAGTAATAAATCCTGGAGGGGACACCAATACATTCCTGATAGCAGAGAGAAGTCACTCTTTAATGTGGGCCTGATAATGTCACTGAGCTCAGTCTTCCCAAATTTAAATGATTAGTAATGACCAGACTCGCTCCTGTTTGATGCATCGCTTAACCTGGTAATCGGGAAATCTATTCCACTTGCCTACTTAGATTGATGATGTCACATTACACTGAGGCTTGCTTTCTCCCCCTAATGGAGGAAGACCATGTTAGGATGCATTGGCCTTAAGCATCCTGGCCTGAGCCTCCCTTCATGAATTTGATTAATATCACAGGCTCTATGGGCACATTTCAGAATTGCTGAATGTGGCATCTCTGGGAGGACTATGTTTAGAGAGCATTGAGATGTCACTAATGGCGTCTGCCATTGGACGATTCTATTCATTTCTTGACTTCCAGACTTAGAGTATCCTTTCCTAAGAAAGAAAAATGTGTCAGTTTTTGTTGGGCCCTACTGAGTAGGAAAGAAAACCAACCACAACCACCACCACCACCACAACAGGACTGATACCCTAAAGTGGAGATGGCCACCTATATCCACCTGTTATATTAAGTGAGGGAATGCCTACCTAGTGGGTGTGGATCTCCTTGTGGATTCTGGGCTATTTTCCAGTGAGGCTCAAAGTTGATTGTTACCATAAGATTCTCCCACTTCTTATCCAGCTCCCTATCCTATAGGGAGTATAAATGTTATCATTCTTCTCTTTCCTACTTCACTGAGAGATTTCACTGTTTCATGCCATCTCATCTCTCTGGTGATCCCAAGGGATGCCAAAGAACCAAATCGTAGCCTTTCTTTAAGAAAATTTTGAGAAGACTTTGTTAGGAAACACCCACACGAATCATTGGTAGACCCAAGGCTAAGTCTAGAGAAAGAAGATGGAGGGTGGGGAAGAAGATGTAGTCACAAATGACAAGAATGAAAGAGGGGAGAGAGAAGAGCACTCGAAAGGGGAATACAGAGGACCATAAAAATTCTCTTCAAGGTAAGAGAATACTCAAAGTACTATAGTGGACAAAGAGAGAAAAACAGAAATCAGCATAAATTTCCACTTAACAAACAAAAGTAGCCATGATTTATTGATTCCATGCTGTGTGCCAGGCACTGTAGTAGGTACTGAGGATGCAGAGCTGAATAAGCCTTGGTCTTGCCTTTGAGAACTCTCATTCTGCTGGGAGAAATATCCATTCAGCCAAGAGCTGTGGTACCGTGTGACAGGTGCCATCACACAAGTAGCTACAGGATACAGAGCAGAAAGAAAATCTTCTTGAAGAAGATGACACCTCAATTGCACTCTGGTCTGCGGCTAGTTTTCTGAGCAAATCTGTGGGCAGCGCATGAGGAAACATTGAGCATCTTCCTCAAGGAATGATTCTGTTAATAAATACTAATCCCTTAAATGTGTTTCTCTGAATTGCCAGAAAAGCAAATGGATGGCTCAGTCCCAACTGATGTTGCCCTTTCAGGCCCTAGACTTCAGGCTGGGATGTATCCTGCAATGCTGCTTATATAGTCCTAGAAGCTTGTTCACACCTTGCTTCCTGTTTTTCTATTAAGGCATCGACACTTGGGGCACACTGAGTTCTCTGACAAGCAGGCTCACCTGTGGCTAGGGGCTTTTGCTTGGAGTCTCTTTTATATCCCCCTTCCTCAAATCTATAAGTACCTATAGAGAGTCATCCTAAAGTCTGGGACAATGGAGACCCCTCAAAAGACATGGGCTAAGATTTTTTTTCTCTGCCTACCAACAGGCTATCTGTTGGGGTGCTTGATCATCCAACCTTCTCTCTGCTTCATTTTCAAAAGTCACCTGTGTGCAAATGGTAGACATTACCAACGGCAGACACCCCTGTTTCCTTCCCATTGCTCTGCTCACAGCCTCTTCCTGGGGTAGGGAGGTCTTTCCTCCAGAGGGGAAACAGGCAAGGTCCTCAGGTGACACAAAGCATTGATTCTGAATTTTGGAGTGGCAAAATTCTCTGAGCAAAGGCAACCCCACTGAGATCTTGGCAATGTAGATGGAGGTGAACTGTGTGCCATGTAATAATGAAAACCGCTGAAAAATACATGGACGAGAGAAACATATATTCCCAGGCTGGAAGAAGATTGAAGGGTTAGAAACCAGGAAAAATATCACTTTAGAGGAGAAGAGATTTCATGGCTCCATAAATAAATCATTGACCAGACGGGGCCCCCTCTCTTTCCCTTTCTTTATTTTGAATCAGCAAATTGTCCTTGATTTGGAAGGGAAACAGAAACACCCTCACAGTGATGCCTGACTTGTGCTGCAGACAAATGAAGCAGCCATTTTAACTTTTCATGAAGATGTTTATTAGGCTCCTGCACTGTTCTGATCTGATATTTCTTTATTTGTGGCAGTTCATTCTTCCTGCCCCGTGTAAAGCATTGAACACATCAGATACAGCCATTCTTATTTTGAACATTCGATTTTTATTTGCAGACTGAACCAACATTAACCAAAGAGATGAGTGTCTCATAGTTGTTTTTTTTCCCCTTATATCCTGGAGACTATGTCTGTCGTAGGAAAACCCTTATGCAGATGAGCATTAAGGTCCTCATTAGTGGTCCAGCAAACCAGAGATCTGTCATGCCCCACCACTGCCACCAAGACAAGCAGAGACAGGGTCAGCCCAGAGACCCAACCTTCTTTTTCATCCCTCCCTTAGAGATTGTCACTGTTTGTCATCAGGAATGAAACTCTGTCTTTGGGGGATTTTGTAAATTGAAATATCATTTTAGTCAACAAATGTTTATGATACATTTTTAATACTGTGTAACAAATGTGTTTGTATCTCCCTTTGTCTTTATATAGCTGGCTTATTATTAAATATTTATGGGAATTACTGGTTACATATTTTCTTAGCTACTGAAATACAGCTCATCACATCCCCTAACACATTCATATATTTCTCTTCCTTGAAGATACTTATTGGAGCCACATTTTTCTCTCCCTATTGAGTTTCCAAGGAAAATAACTATTTCTTGATTCAAGATGCTAAGAAAGTTTCCTTCTGCCGATTTCTGGAGCTCTTTCTATCCTTTACCATGAGGTCGGTTGTGCATGTGACTTACGGCTCCAGAGGCCAGCTGGTGTTGTCATTGCCTCTGAAACCTCTGGGTCATTTGAGATATCACTTTATACACTAGGAGGACATAAATCATGTTTCCTTATTATATTAATCTAGTACAGAATATACAGCCTAAGTATCAATCTTTGATGGCAAATATCACAAATATACCACATACAAAGCCACTGGAATTTATATAACTTGTATTTTTACATAAAACAAAAATCTCACCCTTGAGCGTCCTTAGGCTGAATCACAACCAAAGTACAATCCCCTGGGTCTATGCTAATGAAGTTTGGGATCAACCTACTTTGCAGCCGGTAAGATAAAAGAAAAAATTAAATTATTTCTGGGTGTTGTTTACAATGCTAAGGAGCTGTTTCTAATTGATTTTGATGAATCAAAATCAAAATCAAAATCAAATCATTCTTGAGGATCAAGAATGGGTGTTCTGGTCCATCTGAATCTAGGATTAGGACTTCAATGAGTTTGCTCTCTGTCCCTCAAGAACCCACTTGAAACGAAGGACCTGGTATGCATAACAAGCAGGGCTGCTGGAGTGCGGTTGTGTAGACTGGCCACTCTGCAGCTTCGAGAGGTGCCATTTAT